TGTGTGTGTCTTTTTTGAGACAGGGTCTCCTTGTAGCCCCAGCTGTCCTGGAACTCACTCTCTCGCCCAAGCTGGCCTCGAACTCACGGAGATCCTCTTGCCTGTACCTTTCAAGTGCCAGGTGTGCACCACCACGCCTGGCTTTCTCACTATGCAGCCCTGGCTGGCCTGCAACTCATTACATAGACTAGGCTAGCCTTGAACTCACAGAGATCCTCCAGCCTCTGCTTCCGGAGTGCTGGGATCTGCATTTTAAAAAGGATTTTTAAAAAGGACAGTCTCTGTTTCTGTCTCTCAATATTTACTTATTTTTTTATTAATTAATTTCTTTGAGCCTAGGTTTCATGTAGCCCAGGTTAGTCTCCATCTTTTTATGTAGCTAAGGCTGTCCTTGATCTTCATTTTTTCAAAAATTCATTTTTATTCTGTGTGCCTGTGCAGATATGCACATTCCATGTTCCATGATGAGCATGTGGAGCTGGTGTTACAATCAGTTGTGAGCTGCCAGATGTGGATGCTGGGATCTGAACTTGGGTCCTCTGGAAGAGCAACAAGAACTCTTAATCCAAGTCATCTTCCCAGCCCATAGAATGTTAAAATGCCAGGTTTGGTTGATTACACTTTTAATCCCAGCATTCTTCCAGAGGACCCAGGTTTGGTACATGGAGGCTAACAACCATCCATAACTCCAATTCAAGGGGATCTGACACCATCTTCTGTCCTCTATGGGCATTGCACACACATGGTGCACTTACATACATGCAGACATGTAAAATAAAAATATAAATTAAAAAAAAAGAATGTTAAAATGAGTTGAACATGGTAGTGCATACCTGTAATGCTAGCATTCAGGAAACTGAGGCAGGAGGATTGCCATGAGTCTGAAGCCAGCTTGGGATACATAATGCATTCTAAGCTAGCATCAGAATGAAAATCTTCCCCCCCCAGGGGAAAGTATGAACGCAGTCCCCCACTACCACAAATTATACATTTCCTGCCCTGTGTTTGGGGAAATAACAGAGGTCAGGACACCCAGAATGCAATGGATTAGCCTCACCCTGGAAAAAACACCTTTGTGACCATGGTATCTCCCCTGCCAGGTAAGTATGAGATGCTCCAGCACTTGGGAGGCAGAGGCAGGCAAATCCCTGTGAGTTCGAGGCCTGCCTGGTCTACATAGCAAATTCCAGGCCAGCTGGGTCTACAGGGAGACCCTGTCTCAAAAAGACCAAAAAAAAACCAACCAAACAAACAAACAAACAAAAAATAATCAGGCCTATGGTAGCACATACCTGTAATCCCAGCACTTGGGAGGCAGTCACAAGAGGATCAGGAGTTCATAGCTATCCTCAGCTATATACCAAGATCCAGACCAGCCTTGGCTACACAAGACACTCCCTCTCCAAACACACACACACACACACACACACACACACACACACACACACAAGAGAACATACATTAAAATAACAAAGAATTGGACTGGTAAGATGCTTGGACTGGTAAGAAGGCTTGCAGTGCAAACCTGATGACCTGAATTTGATCTCTGGAACCCATATAAAGCTGGAAGGAGAGAACCAACCCCATAAAGCTATCCTCTAACCTCCACATGTGTGCCATAGCATGCTCACCCACACGCAGATATCACGCATACACAAAAATACAGATTTTTTTAATAGCAAAGACACTCTGTTCCAAAGGCCCCAAATGTCAAAAGTATTTGGGAGCTTGTATCTAATCCTTAAAAGATTTTAGGGTTACCTCTTCAGAGGGGGGAATGTTGGAGAGGAGGGAGTGGGCATGGATTTGATCAAAACACCTTATATGCATGTATGAAATTCTCAATAAAGTTTTTGTTAAAAACAAAAAAACAAAACAAAAAAATAGCAAAGAACCGTGCTTAAATTTAAACCATACATGACTCTGAGCTTTGTTTTGTTTTTGTCTTTTCTGACAAGGCCTGGCAGGCTTTAAACTTGCAAGGACCCTCTTGCCTTTGCTTTCTCAGGAATTGCAGGCATGCTCACCGTGCCCTGCTATGCCTTCTGAGTTTAACCTTACTCCTTTCTTATCTGGAGACCTATACTTTTCTGGGAATCTCACACAGACAAGATTACAAACTGTTTACAGTTTTATCAGTCTGTAAAACTGCACAGTACACTTCAGAAAACTCCTAATGACCTCATTCACTGAAGAAAAGTTCCTTAGATAATCATATACTAAAACAATTTTACTTAATTTTTTTTCAGACAGGGTCTTACTATGTAGCCCTGGCTGACCTTGAACTCCCTGTGTAGACCAGTCTGGCCTCAAACACAGAGATCCACCTGCTCCTGCCTCCCAAATACTGAGATTATGCATGTAGGTCATTATGACCAATTTTAAACCTTTTCTTGTTTTCTTCTCTCC